TATTTTCCCCATCCGAGCCCCTACCCTTTATGCCAGCACCGCCTCCCTCCCTGCGGAGCGGAAGGTGGGAGAAATGAACATAAATAGGTCTTACGACGACGCCCAAGGAATTGACAAGCACCTGCGAGTTTAAACAATGCACTCCACAGAGGGCAGGAATCATGTCCTTTCCTGCATGTGACAAATGTCTACCAGGTACCCAGCAAGACATATGCCAAGCACTGGGTGCTCGCGTACAATACACCACAACACACACGATACAAAACACAACACACATGCAACACTCATACACAACACACAATGTACACTTGCTCCTCACATGCAAAAACCACACACGCCACACACAAATTCACATCACACACACGCTAACACCCCACACTCACACAATATATGCATTCACACAACACACACCCCAAAGTCTTCATGCTGAAGTGTTTTCATTTTTTTTTTCTTTTTTCTTTTCTTTTGCTGAGCACTATAGTAATCGGGATGAAGTATTATATTTTCATTTCAAAGACCACTGAGAGATCTAGATCGATTGAGCCAAATAAGCACTGGAGGTTAATCGTGCTGGGGTGGGGCCTCAGGGGGAGGTTTTCAGGCTGAGCCATTTCAGAACAGAACATTTTGTCCACCTGAGTTCCCAGAGTGGCAGTCACAGAGTTCTCTGCCAGGGGATGAATGACCATGAGAATGATTTACAGAGGGTACAATGGTGTTTACCAGGGGAGGCGGGAGGGAAGGGAGATGTTGATCAAAGAGTGCAAATCTTCTGTCATGAGATGAATAAGTTCTAAGAATCTTCTGTACAGTGTGGTGACTATACCGAATACCACTGCTTTGTATTCTTGAAATTTGCTGCGAGAGTTAATATTAAGAGATCTCGCCACACACACACACACAAAAGGTGACTATGTAAAGTGATAAATGTGTTAATTAGCTTGATTGTGCTAATCATTTCACAATGTATACATATATTAAATCATGTTCTATGCCTTAAATATATACAATTTTTATTTGTCAATTATTTCTTAGTAAAGCTGAAAATAATATAAGAAAAGAAAAATCTACCTATACAGCCAAGAGCTAACAGGCTGGACTTGTTATATAATTTCTCATTAAGACTCTTCCAACCATATCCCTGCTAGGCTGAGAAGGCATCAGGCACCAGACACACCTTTCCAAACATGTGGTGCTTAAATGAATGCTGCAATTGCATTCTGAAATTGTGGCATTAGAGGTCAGTTCCAGAAGTTAATCTCACGCAACTAAGTTTAAAACAATAACCTACTGGCCGCGCATTTATTTTCTAATTTTCAGCAGACCAAAGAAGTGCAGTTCAGATTCCACAGTAAATATCCTGACTTCCAACGAAATACAAAGTGTCTTGAGAGGGAAAACCCTCCACAGACAAAGAAATATTTTTGCAGTACAGTAAGGAGCTTATGGTTTAACAAAGTATGCCTGAATTCTTCAAAGAAAGGCACCGCTTAACTTCAACATGAACTTACAATTTTTACCATTATCCTCCCCTAAATGTTTTCTTTGCATCTTGCAGAGTTGTATAATTATTTTGAGCAATCTAAAAATATATGTGAAATAGATTTAAAAAGCAACTATTTTTCCTTTTCTAAACTCACTCCACAAACCTCTGTGACCAGATGTGGGGGCTGTTTGTTCCCCAAGAAAAAATTTTGTAACAGAAGCTGGGTGTCTTCAATTCAGTTCAATCCTGGTGCTAACTCCAGTTGAGGGTTCAGGTTAAGGACAAGACTGCTCCCCACTGCAGACACCACCTGCAAGTGTCAGGTTGTCACCTATACATCCGGCTGTCTGGCTATGAATCAGGGCTCCTACAACACCCTGAGGTTTTGGTAATTTGCTAGGATGGCTCACAGAACTCAGGGAAATACTTATGTTCACTGGCTTGTCATATAATAAAGACCATGATAAAGGATACAGATGATCAGCCAGATGGAGCGATAGGCAAGGTACACGGGAAGGGATGTGGAGCTTCTGTGCCCTCTCCGGATGGGCTACCCTGCACGTGCTCAGCAACCCAGAAGCTCTCCGAACCCTGTAGTCCAGGGAGGGATCTTTATGGAGGCTTTATTACTTACATATGACCAATGATTAACTTAGTCTCTAGTCCCTCCTTTCTCCACGGAGGATAGGGAATGGGGCTGAAAGCCCCAAGTTTCTAACCATGGCTTGTCTCTCTGGTGACCAACTCCTGGGACTCAGGAGCGCATCAAGGGTCCTCTCATCAGAACAAAAGATGCTTTTGTCACCTGGGAAATTCCAAGAGATTAGCTCTGTGCCAGAAACCAGGGGCAGAGACCAAATATATATTTTTATTATGTTTTATATATATAGTAACATATATATGTTATACATATATATAAAAGAAATACACACACACACACACACACACATCTTTTCTGTATACTTTACAAACACATTCTTTACCATGCCAGAGGACTGATTTGGATGGAAAACCCGTAGGAGGTCACAGCTTTGGTACTCTTCCAAGGTCTTAACGCTTGAAACTCAAGTGCCCAGAAAATGGGACAGTGTCAATATGTTCTGGTCATCACTGTTCCCACACATGCAAACACCGTTTCTGAGAAATCCTTAGCACACCTCCCCGAGGGGGCTGTACAGACTTGGACCACATGTAAGCGAGCAACAGGCTGCCTAAATTTTTCTCTTTGGAATAAGGTGAGATTCACTTCAATAAGTCAATAAGCAGAGAACATGCCAGAAGACAGGATGGAGATCCAAAGACAGCTCTTTGAGTACAGAAATAACTGAAGGGGAATGTTGGCAGCTGCATAAGGATTGGAGAAGTTGGAAGTAACTAAACAGTAATATTTGCATCCATTTTATTTTGTAATGTCACAAGACAGCTAAGCAACACACACCCGTGTCTGTAGATGCCACAAACGTCACTAAATCATTGACAGGAGAGGCCTGAGGTGACCTCCAGGCCCACTCTGTCCAGTGGACCTTTTCAGTCTCACTTCCCTCGTCTATTCCTGGGGACGACAGTGCTCACCTTGCAGGATGGTAAGTACAGATGGCAGTAATTGGCACTTAGTGCTTTGTGTGGTCATTCAGTCACCCCAGAAATAGATGGAGGAAGTGCTAGAATTTCAGGTGTGCCATAAATTGAGTACGGATGTCTTCCTAATCCCAGACTGGACATGTGGGTTGATGAGAAAAGGTGTAGGTATAAGACAATATTGCCCAATATTTAAAACCAAGATGTTAAAACTAAGATCTTTCACTATTTTATTTTCTTAGTCATGTGTCTAAGATTCACATGCTGAATTAAGCATTACCTTTTAAAAGTGATTGTTTTTTTCTTCCCCCTTTGTTTTGATTCTTTCAAACTCCGTCAAACACATGTCACAATGGAATTATGAATTAACGTGAGAACAGTAAGAAGCGGAACTGAGAAACTAGAGACATGCAAATTTTATCTAGGGAAATGTTTGCTTGGTTGTAAAGAAAACTCTAGGACTGAGAATAGAAAGTCTGCTAACATGATTTCACCATTTCCCCCAATGGAAGGAGCAGCGAACTCAAGAGGGAGTTTTTTAGGACAATGGACGACTTTCTTGTTACTATTGTTACTGGTGTTTATATCCTCTAACATTTCTAACACAGTGCAAAGCACTCAGTAAATACTTTTTGATAATTTAAAATCACACTTATACAAAGTGATTTCAACTACAGGGAAGTTGATCTCTCTCTACTCTAAGTTTGAGCTGAATCACAGCAGTATTTACCAACTTTCTCATAAAATTCTCAGAATACATTGTACAGCAATTAGATGCAATGAAGGTAATCCAGACATGTCATTTGCAGAAAAGTCAGTCCTTTATGCCGAAATCTGCCTGACCCTTAAATTTTGTCTTTATATTTGAAAAGGAAAAAGAAAAGTAGTTACCATATTTACATAAGAGCCAATGCGGCGCAGAAGTGTTATTACTGTACTAATGCTCCAACCTCTTAACAAGCATGTATTTTTCTTTCTGTCTTCTGGATTTCACAGTTATTAGTTGCAACACAAACATTATGTTGGGAGCAGGGGAAGACAAGCTCTTAAACTTCTTTCTCTTTCTTTGAAGAGAGAGACAAAGAAAGTGTTAGAAGTTAGAGAAAAGGAGAGAGATGACCATGGCTGCAATGCAACAGGAAAGTCTGCACCAGGGGTCCTCAAACTTTTAAAACAGGGGACCAGTTCACTGTCCCTCAGACCATTGGAGGGCCATTGGAGAGTGCGGTGCACATTCCACACATGCGCACTGTGGGCCCAGGACAAGTTGGCTGCTAAGCAGGACAGGCAGCGGTGGCAAAAACACCCGGCAGGCCGGATAAATGTCCTCGGCGGGCTGCATGTGGCCCGCGGGCTGTCGTTTGAGGACCCCTGGTCTGCACTATCCTCACATAACTCACCTCCCTTTTCAATGAAAAGCTGACAAGGCTGCAACTGTGCCACCAACGTGGGCTTCTTTTCCACCTTGTTAAAACAGACAGTGGGTCACAAACACAATTTTCTTCTAGCCAATCCAGATTAGCCGGATAAGTAGTGCTGAGCAAGCCCCTACTTGCCCTTTGCTTCAACCTTGGGTGTCAAACCTGCTATGCAGGGCTCCCTACCCCTCCTGAACAAAGCCCAGACCACTCAATCTAATGTTCCAGATGCCCCGCCATCTCTCTTGACCCCACCTGTTTGGAACATGTTTCTTTCCTTACCCTTGACGTACCTATGCTTATTTCATACCAGTGTCTGTGCGCATTCTCCTAATCCCTACCTCTCACCTTGCTTGTGCAGGTTCTGGGTAGAGTACCCAGAATGCCATCTTTCTCCCCCTACTTCTCCCACTTCAAGACCCAGCCTAAATACTGCATCATTCCTTTCCAAGGGTGCTCTGGGATTTTCCCACCTCTCCAACCAGCAGAAATCAGCAATTCTCTCCCCTCCTCTGAACCTTGTGGTTCTCCATCTCCCCTTCTGGTGGCACTTGGCCACCCCTACTTTGTACTGCTTGAGTTCTTCTCTTCCCTGCTGCCCAGTTAAGGTGCTCAAAGGTAGGCTCTATCTCTGATTGACTACAGCTTGAACAGAGCAGATATTTAAATATTTGCCAAATGAGCAGAAGTGGCCACGTTGACACTGTTTATGTCCACAGTGCCTTAAAAAGTCGAAAGCACATTATTAAGTAAAGAGCTTTCAATAAATTCCAGTGACAAAGCTTTCTGGGAAAATAGGCCCAAATTCCCCCAGGAGGCAGGATTTGGCAGTGACTGTGGACAGCTTTGGTCTAGCCAGCTTCTTGCGTACTTGGGTAATTTGCTGACCTGATGGCTGTCTACTTCTCTGGTCAATGGTTCTCAACCCACATTATACTAAGTACATGGATAATCACCTGGGGAGTTTTAAAAACCCAGGCTGCATTCAGACTTATCACATCAGAACCTCTTAGGGTAGGGTCCAGGAATCAGTATTTTCGAAGCTCCCCAGGTGATTCCAATAGGCAGCCAGGCTTGAAAACCACTGGCCTATGTCCCAGAGAATATCATCCCAAAGAGTGATGATATTCAGCTGAAGTTTGTCCTCTTTGCATGTAACTGAGTTTGTTCATTAAGGTAGCAACACCTATTTTCAACACTGATCCAGCAGACTGGGGTGAGGCTAAAAAAAGAGAGCTCAACTCCAGGGACTTATTTCCACACAGCAGGTTTCCCTAGAACAATAATTTACCATCTGGACATCAGTTCCAGACTAAAGGAAGTATCTGCCTCTACCTCCAGCATTTTTCACTTTTCTATGAACCTGGTTTCTATACATTATGGCATATTACCTTACTGACTTTTTAAAAAATTTCAGTTGAGGGGGAAAAAAGCTTATAATTCTGATCTTGTGGTTAAATAAATCTCAGAGTTTGAGGTTGATGATAAACATCCAAGCACGGTGAGTGATACTAGGTGTATTTTCCCACATTATTACAATAGTAGCAAAGTGACCTCCCCTTCTCCCTATGAGTCAGCTCAGGAACTCACTGTGCTAATCTAGAGAAATGCCTAAACCATGAGGGAAATTTATTCAAAGAGGTCATCATAGCAAGTTCACATGAGATTTTTCAGATCAACTAAGTTTCAGTACACATTCTGTCACCACTGACTATAATCATATATTTTCCCTCCAGGAAAGATATCCTGCGAATCTTTGCATACGGCTTTTAGAATATTTTTTTTTTAGTTGCCAGAGACACATTTTTAATGTTAGTTAGCCTGACCCAACATAAAATACACCTGTTGTCCTGGGATCAATGCCTGCTTTTCTACCATATTCTCATGAACGAGATAATAGGATTGATTTATAACACTTAACAGACAGATGATATACTATTTGTGAAACCAGGTTGCCCCACAAATGTGCTTCAAGCAGAATCTGTTTAGCTATTCCAGAGAAACATCTACTGAGTTCCTATTATATTTGAATTTGTACTTTATTGTTACATGTATTTCATTTGTATTCATTTTGGCTTAAAAATCATCTACAGACCATTTCAGAAGCTAAAAAATAACACTTTCCTATAATACCTTTTTAAAAACTAGCTTACAGGTACCACGTGTCAGTGCGGATAACACCTCTTAGAGGTGCAGGAGGAGGGGCTGAATCACATGCTTGATGTGAACAGACTAGGAAAAACTTCAGCTCCCAGACATACACGGTGAAGTCAATGATATCTTACAAAGAACTATGTATAAACTAGTGTTTCCTTTCTTCAGATCCCCTTGTTATTTCAGCATAATGACACTTAAAGAGGTTTGGGAGTCCCACAGATCCATGTTCAAATCCTTACTCTTATTTATTTGCTACGACCTGAAGAAGCTCTCCTAACAGCCTCAGTTTTCTTAGAAACAAATAGAAGGCAGTAAAACCTGTATAAGGAACACAGACAATGTCTGAAAAGCTCCCAGACTTTGCAGGGAGGGGATGGATGACTGCTGATCCTGGCTGGTCCTGGAATGGCCAGGCGAGGTGGGTACCTGTGCATGGAGGCTAAGAGCTGTTGCTACAACCCCCAAGACTGGACAGCCACTCATGAGCCTAAAGCACAGCAGGAAAGAACAAGAGGCCAGCAGATAAAATCACAGGCAATAAAAAGTCTAAGAATAGTTGCTCCAGGATTTCCAGTAAAGTTCTAGCCTCTCACTAACTCCGGGAACAGAATTAGGGAAGCCACATCAATCTCTAGGGGGCACGATCACGGCTTTGGAATGTGTGGGTTCTGTGGCCCATGTTGGAAGATGTCATTGGCGTAAACAACTGAGCGGCTCCAGTCACCAAGAGCAACACCACTTACCTTAAACAAGAAGAGACTCCTCCATAAGAGGGTCAGCATCTTTAGAAAAAAGACAGGGGGCAACTTTTAAGCAAGTTCTCTTCCAGTAATTTCCCCTCAAATGATAAAAGAAGTCACACTTTCACAAATGACACACACATGGCGTCACCTAGTTCTATAGTAATGTCTCATTCCTTCGGTCATTGATTCAGCAAATAGTCAGACATAAAAATTGCTTAAATCCTTACTGAAATTTTGGTCTTTAAAGCTAGTCATACCACTGTCATGGACTGATTGAACATAGTGTCCTATCTTGGGCTTCTAGAATAAATTGCCATAGACCGGGTGGCTTAAATGACAAACATTTATTTCTCACAGTTCTGGAGGCTGGAAGTCCAACACCAAGGTGCAGCAGAGCTGGTGTCTGGTGAGGGCCCACTTCCTGGGTTGCAGACGGCTGACTTCTTGTATCTTCACACGGCAGAAAAAGAGCTGGCTAGTTCTCTGGCCTCTCCAAAGGGTGCTACTCCCATTCATGAGAGCATCACTCTCCCTTCACACTTTAATCATCTCCCAAAAGCCCCGCCCCCTAATACCATCACATAGGGATTAGGTTTCAACAAAAGAATTTGCGGAGGACACAAACATTCAGTCTGTTGTACCAGATCTAGGAAAACCAAAAGCCTAACAATCTATGAGTCTAAAATATTTATTTCAATTATCATTAGCACAGACACATTTCAAGTTTTATAAATATGTTTCTAGACTTTTCTATTGGAAATATACCTTTGGCTGCCTCTTTCACCCGGCACTATCACATGACAACATCCATTCCAGGTGACATCTGATTGGGGTAATTCCGACTGGGTTGAGCACCTGGAATTCGCCTGTGGAATCCCTCCCTTTCAGAAGCAAACCCTGCCTCTTTGCCCTGCACCAGGAGGCAAAGCCCACTGAAGTGTCAGCTGAGCTTGCAGTCTTCCCACTTCCTGCCCAGACGTTCTTGTGTCCACGGAGACCTGATCCGTGAGTGCCTCCCTCAGTGCTGGCAGTTCCTGAGACCTTCTTCCCCACCCACCCTAGGGCACGCACACACACACACACACACACACACACACACACACACACACACACCTCCACTCTGCCCTGGTCACAAATAACCGTTTATCACAATTTTGCCTTAAAGATAGGCCTAAGTGTTTGATCAACAGTATTTTGTCTCAGTCCTCTGTGTTTCTCCACAAGGTGGAAGTACCTCTGGACTCAGAGCCACCAGGAACCCCCGGCCGTGGTCCAGTGCACATCCCTTCCCCAGGAACCTGCCAACACTAAGCCTCCTATGCAAAGCCACCCCACAGTCATGGAACCAGAGGGGCCGGCATGAAAGACGATATGCAGTAGAGAGAGATCCTCTTCTCAGCATCTTCCCCAGATGATAGGCTTTAGGAATGTTGCTGTATTTTGAAGCACAGAGAGCCGTGGCTCAGAGTTGGTGGGGAGGGGGCACGGTTCCAGTTGTACTCTTTGCCCACCCAGTGGTCCCGAGGAAAGGTCTGCATTCTTCACCTCTGAAGTTGGAAAGACAACCCTACCCACACCCAGAGCAAAGGACATAAGGGAAGCTCCACTTGCATCTTTCTCCTGAGCTTCCTGCCCTGAAGGACCCCCCAGCACCCAGCAGGCTGATTTAGTAGCACAAGAGGGAATGAACAAGAAAGCTCTCTGTAAACTGAGTTTTATTTCTGGAAGAGGGTAGAATGTATTTTTGTAAAATCTCCCCATGGCCATATTTAAGCAGAGCTTCTGTCGCTTGTCTCACACTGAGGACAGAACTAGGCAAGAGATACAGTGACCTGGGTGCCAGCCCTATATGCAATATCACCCCTGTCATGACCTCTTGTGGCAAACAGAACAAAGTCCAACGGGTGCTTGTGCAAGGACCCAGGCCCCCCTGATGTCATCCAGGTGAGCATTCTGCAAGGTAAGGGTCTACAGACCTTGGCCTCATCTTCTCGGCCCATGACCAAAAATCTACCTGAAACTCAACAAAATCCAACCTCCTCACCCCAGCCCCAAATGCCCACTGCTCTGTGGCCTCAGCCTCTGTCTCCAGCTCACCTTGAGCCCCTCCCCTCCAAGCCCCTTCTCCAGCCACACATAGGCCCTCTCTCTCTGCTCCTCACGCAGGGCTTTTCTGCCTGCGCCCTCTGCTCTCTGCCTGTCCTGCTCCTCCCCGTGCCTCGGATCTCATCCCTTCACCTCGGGGAGTGGACCTTGGCTCCTTAGTCACCGTCTGTCTCTTTCATAGTGCGAATCACAGTGTGTGCTGATTCGTGCGGCCACCTGGCTATTTCGTGTGACCCTTGCATTCCATGGCAGGACACACAGCAAAGCCTCATTAAACAGTCGTTAAATGAATAAAGGTTATGATCACAAACACGTTCAAGCCACCTGCATAGGTGCCCAACCTCAGTCATGATATGAGATGGGAACATTTAGAAAACACACTGAGTTTACTACTTTACCATTTAAGACTACTAGGATTTCATAAAAACCAGCTTGCTAGCTGACAGACAGGTGGGGAAACATTTTCTCAAACGTTCCTGGTGGGGCTGTTAACTGACATAAGCTGGTGGGCCAGAGGGAGCAATTCTGAAATATATAACAAAAATGCAAAAGTACCTAGCCTCTGACCTGGCAATTCCACTTCCAGGAATTTAGCCAACAACTAGCAAACATTTCTGCAAAATGACACAGGCAGCCCGTTATTCATTGCAACATTGGTTGAAAGAGCAAAAGATTGCAGACGAAAGTCCACCAAGAGGTTGAAAATCCAGCTCCTTACATACAGATGTGGAACAAGGCACAAAACAGTGTGCACCATGAGTGTGAAAGAAAATGCTAGAAACTATGAACAAGCGTTACCTATTGGTGAGGAACAGGGAAAGAGGAATCTGAGGGAAGGGAAGAGAGGGAGACCTCACTGAAGAACCTTTCAAGTTGTTATCGATTCAAAAGCAAATAAATGATGTGTCATCCACTCAAAAAATTTTAAAACTCCAAACTCTTATGGAAAACTTTTAAAAGTAAAATTCCATTTTAAATTATATTCTTATCCTCATTTTATAACAGGAACAACCGAGCAAAGAGAAGATGGGAGGAAACAGAGCTGCCCTTGACTCGCAAGCCATTAATAGCACTCATTCCACTCCACCCCAGCCTCCTTGCAGTAAAGAATCCAGAATAGTGCATATTCCTTTTTGGAGGACTCAATAAATGGTAACTATATACCCAGGTAAGCAGCACTAACATCACCAGTGGCCCCAAACCATGTGTCAGTATCTCCAAAGTTCAGTCAAACCTACTCTCACCAACCCATGGCTCCAGAGTGAAGCTGTCCCCATGTATCATGGATTCCAGGTCTTTACTAACTAACTTCACTAACTACTGGTATAACTCCACGCAAAACACTCCTCTGTGCCTCGGTTTCCTAATCTACAAAATAAGATATTAACGATTACTTCACATGTGAAGTACTGAGAACCAGGTCTCATACATAGTCAATATTCTATTAAGTATTAACTATTATTATTATTATTCAGTACCAAAGAAATATAGACAGATGTTGTCACATGTGCACACTCCCACTTTCCAAGTTTAGAATTAAAAGACAATGTCAAAATTTCAGCATGCAACTCTCCAGAAGCTATATATTTTAAAAGGCGAGACTATAAATAAATTTTATAGTAACAACAATAATAATAACACCATTTTGCATTTTTACTTTTTTCTATTCAAAAAGCTTTCCTCTATCTTGTCTCTTTTTATTCCCAGTACCATATTGTGAGGTGGGTAGGACAAGCCTTCTTTCTGAATTTTATAGCTAAAAGGAGATAAAATCATAAAGGCTGAGGTTTGCCGCAGGTTATTCAATCGGTAAAAAGAGCAAAAAAGCATCTATCTGATTCCTCCACACTCTCTGCAGACTTTCTGAGAGACATCAAACAAGGTCAAAGTCCTCAGAAGTTAGGTTGGCAGAAGTTACGGTAAGAGGTGACTGCTTTGGCAATGAGTAACCGAAAAAGATAAGAAGCTGAACCCAAAGGGACAGAATAGGATGCCAGGATGTTTGCAAAGGGTTTCTTTAAAATAAATTAAGACAACAAAATACCCTTGGCCAATTATCAGATTAGCACATTTTTTAAAAAAACAGTGAAACGCGGTGCTGGTGAGAGTGCTGGAAAATGGTGTTCATACAGTGCTGGCGGGCATAGGAATTAATAACACTGCCCTTGGATTAATTTAGCAACAGGGATCTAGAGCTTTAAAAATGTTCAGGGCCTTGGACCCCACAATTCCACCTCTGGCGATTTATTCCAAGGAAAACTGATGAAGAGACGCAAAGGTCTAGCTGCAAGGATGTTAGTTTTAGTATTGTTAATAGTAGAAAAACAAATACATCTGCTAACAGGACTTAATAAATTATGCAACGCAATTAAAAAGCTTTTGTAAAAGGAAATTAAATTCATTGTTGTGGCAAGATGCTCGCCATATATCGCTGAGAAGTAAAAGCAGATAATAAAATAGCATCTAGAGTACGAGATGTTTCTTCAAAATGTAAATATATTCAGAGACAAATACACCCACCAAAATGTCCATAGTATTGATCTCACAGTGATGGGTTTTTGTTTCTCATCATTTAAAATTGTCTGCATGTACTCTTTTTAAAATGTTATCTTTGACAATGAGCGTGTGCTATTTGTGTCAATGTTTAAGGGACATATTTTAAAAGTGGATTTTCACCATCCCTTGACCATGTCTGTCAAGTTTTTCTCCTAAGTAAACTAACGGGCTTGTGCCCAAAAGCATTTGTGGGTTCAAAGAGTAACGGCCACATGTTGTCTTGAGAAAGACCGTAAGAATCTTTCTAAACTCATCACCACTATTAGGAAGATCAAATTCATGTCAAGAAGTATTACTGCCCCTTTCTGGGCAACCATGTCTTCTTCCTTTTCCTAATGGATCAGCACATTTACAGTAAACACAAGTCCTCGGCATCTAATGTACATGCTGTTCTCCAGTTGCCTCTTGGGTGAATACTGTGACTCACCAGACCAGTTGGTCACTGGCTGCATCTTGTGGAGCATTCTTCCCCACCATCCAGCTCCTCACAGCCTCACAAACACCACAGCGCAAAACTCACCTTTTGCATGAGAACACTAAGGATTTATACATTGAATTCAGTAGTAAACCTCATTTTGTTCTCCCTTTTTGTTTTATTTCCTTTCCTTAATCTTTCAGATTCTGTCCCATTTTCTTCTTATTCATATGCACAACAATCCTATTAATAGGAATTACGTAAATTTAAGGGTATCCAATAAGATATACAGGGCAATGTTTATGATCCCCCCTGAGACTGCACAGTTTTCTCTATAGCTGTAGATGCAACATTTGCAAAGCCTCTGGTGGGAAAAAAAAATGCTCGTGCTTTTAAAATGACATTTGAAGCCCTTAGTGAGAGAATCATGTACAAGTCTTGCCAATACAATGCAATGTCACTTTAAATGCAACCAACGGAAGTCTGTTAAAAAAAATAATGCAGTGCCTCAGTCAAACATTGAGTGAAATTGTGACCCTCTAAAACTGTAGAAGCTTAATGGAAAATGACAAAATAAGTCTTAATTCTAACATCATCAACAGCATTATGAAAGGACTTTATTTGCAATGCCCTTCACTAAACAAACCTTACCACTTACCACAAATCACATAACTGTTTACGGTTTATAAGCAGTATAGAGTTATAAAATTTATTTCCCATATACTTCATAGTCAATCTTCCATAGAATGAAGCATAAGCAATCATAGGTGATTTCTTAGCTTGGCTCACACACACATCTAAGGTTAAATGTGCCTACAGAGCCCCGTTAACGCCAAGAAATCCTTAAAATCTTGTTTCAACAAACAACACAACATTAACTTTTATCAGATTCCATTTCTCCCTCCTAAATATCTCATCAATGTGAAAATAAACCAAAAAAGGGAAGGAAAAAATACAGAAGCAAAAAACTATAGTGCAATTAACCATCTTACTGTCTCCGTTGTTCATGCTTGGGGCATTTGGGAACGGCTGGCCTCCTAGGAGGTGGCAGGTAGCTCTCGGGGTGGTCCGGCCGACAAGGTTTCTTTTCCCAAATGAAGCCTGCTGAGCTGACACCGGTTATTACAAACAAAAGTGCGTTTTGAAGTCAGCCCTGGATAGAGTTGTTCATTCTTTTTTTCCTTTTCTGAACGAGCTCTGGGTCGGGTCTGTGCCGCACGAGAGTGACAGCTCACATCTTGTCACACGCCCCAGCTGGCACAGAGGTTCAAAGGAAGGAGAAAGTGGGGTCTCGGGGACGCCTGTGTCAGAGCCTGCGAGGGCTTTAATCCCTCTGCAGTGACACATCTGGGGAGCTATGAACAGGAAACTCAGAGCTGGGCAGACAGCCAGAATCCCTCGGCAAACGTGCCAAACCCTTATGAAATACCAATACCCCTCACTGCACGCTAGCCGCGACCGCTTCCTGAGGCTGGCGCTGTCTGCTGGAAGGACTGTGCGTTGAACCTCGACAAGGCCAGCCGGCTGTGTCCAGCCACGTATAGTGTTCCTGCCATCAGAGTTGTGACCGGTCAGGGCCAGGCCAGGGGTCTTGTGCCCCTTGCCCTCTCTGCCCACCCCCTGATCCCCACAGAGGCAGCCCCCAGGCAAGGTTGCAGGACCCTTAATTCAGATCTGCACCTGTCCCAGACCCCAGCCTTCTTCTGGATGGTGCCCACCGCCCCTGCCATGTGCCCTGAGAACACTGCAAGCCTCTCTTCTCTGCACCCTGGACGTGGGGTGACCTCTGATCACTCCTCTGCCCAGGGTGATGCTCTGGGAGAAGCACATGGGTCAGGGAGGACTCAGGAGCCAGAGCCTCTGGCTTTCCCACGTGCAGCCTGATCCACCCAGGAGAGACAGTGCTGCTGGGTCACCTCTTTTATTTCTCTTATGGGCCCTCCTGTGCCCTGCATTCAGATGAACATTCTCAACGTGATACAGAATCTACCTGATCACCGTGCTGCTCTAAACTCTGAAGCGTGGGGAGGAAGACAGACAATCCTCCTACTGTGGCATTCCAGGCCCTCAGTAGGCTGCTCTCAACACGCCTTTCTGCCGTCATTCCCATCACCCTTTCCAAGAACCCTTTGCACTAATCTGGACTGGCCCCCCTCTCACTCTAGCAGACACTGTTCAGTCCTGCGCTCTAATGCTCTCAGCCCACTGTCTGTCCTCGTCCTGTTAAGTGTGACCCCACCCAGCATGACATGTCCCACCTCCTAGCTGTCCCCCTACCTTCCAGTGTTCCCCGCTGTTCTCCCAAGCACACCCCCTACTGCATCCGGCCTGACTCTCCCCACTCCGAACCAGTGCCTTCCCTCTGTGATGTCACAGAAGAGCAATAGTGGGCACTTACAGGTGCCAGGCATTCTTCCAGGAAGCTTAAATTCTTTAGACCCATTTTACAGATGAGCAAACTGAGTAAGCACCCTTCCCAAGCTCATTCAGCCAGGCGGGGGTGGAGCCCAGCCTGGCGTGGCTGTGCAAGTCTTACCTGGGGACCGGTGCAATATGTTTGGAAACAGGGCTTATCTACTCAGGAACGGTGCAAGTTCCTAGCAGCCATTGTCTCTTCCTGGCATCCTATCCAGAGGATGTCCCATTCTAGGTCATTACCAAGCAGCTGAGATGCATTGGTAGGTTAGAGAGCTTTCACTGAGAGAGCACATGTTCCAATTTAGCCATGGACGGGGATTTCGATAACATTAAGAATCAGCAGAATGGTCTTGAGGTTCTAGGCCATGTTCCTGCAGCGGCCTTGCTGACATTCCGGACCTGTCTATAATGTGAATGTTCAGGTCGAAGCCACCTGCTGAAGCGACAGGCTGCCAAAGACACAGCCTCACTGGAACATCTCGAAGGACTCTCAGAGGCCAGGCGGGACTTCCCACGCTTCCTCCACCGTGGTGCAGCCATGAGGCCTGGGCGGGACCCACTCTAACCCCAACTCAAGGGGCTGCCCCGCTGGTCTCTTCTTCCCAAGGAGCCCGAGGGACGGGCACACCCAGGGAACAGCCTGGCTGTCAGCACGTGGCACCTCCTGGCCACGTTGACAGGCTCTGGGCTGGTCCAGTCAGAGCAAGGCTTACTGCTTCTCTTTGACAGTGGGCAGAAGCCGGCCCCTTAGGACGGCTGCCATGGCCCCCGTCCTAGGACAAGGGGGGTGACAGCTTGAGGAGGACGCCCACCACAAGGGAGGGGCTTCCAGAGAACTTCAGAGAAAGTGCTAGAAACTCATCCAACCTTATTATCTCTGGACTGTTCGAGGATGGGGGCTGATAGAACCTTTTTGGTTTTTTAAAGTCAGGCCAGCCGAGTCCGATATTCAAGTATCTGCCACCAAGTGTCCTGACACCCACAGGAGAGACCAACGGGCAGCCCGCGAGCCAGAGGGAGGCTGACTTGCTTTCCTCTGCAGGGGCAGCCGGCCCTGCTCCTGCCCCAGCTGCGCCCTCTCCTCCCTCTCCTCCCTCCCCTCCTCCCTCCTCTCGCACCCCTCCCCTCCCCGCAGTCTTCCCCACTCCCCTCTCCCTCCTCCTCTCCCCCCTCCTCCCTCTCCTCCACTGTCTCCCCACTCTTTCCCCTCCTGTGTCTCTTCCCTCTTCTCTTCCTGTCCTTCTTCCTTTTCTTTTGCTCTCTTTCCATCGTTCCTCCCATAACGAAAGAGAGGAAGTGGACGGGGAGGCTCTGTGCCCGCAGGAAGGGGCGGGTGAGGAGACGGAGAAGCTGCGGGCGATGGCGGTTCGTGGCTTTCAGAGGAACAGATGCCTGCCCGGGAGCTCCCGGGTGGCTGGGACTCTCAGGAACATGCGTGTCTTCCAGGGGCTGGCCAGGGGCCCCTGACCCTGAAGGGTGAACGGACGGACGGACGCTTCGTTTGGGAGACACTCTCGCCTCCTGCTGGGTGCAAGGTCCAGGGGCTCTTTGAAAGACAGAAGGAAGCTCTGACGCCAAGAAGCTTCCTCTCTAGCAGACAGGCAGGCTGCGGGCGAGACGCCCCTGGGCTTCATCCACCATGACTGTTTGCTTCCCAGATAAGAGTTTGTTACCCTCGTTTCTCTCTAAGCAGTTTAGCATTATCTTTACTGAAGAGTGGAGAGGAAAATGTTATTTCAAGGATATTTGGGGCCCTTTTTTCCACTCCAGACAATTTCTTTCTTCCAACTTCCCCCACTTCTCAACAAGGGGAATAATGTCAGAAATCTGCACTGTTTAGTTAACGTGTGTGAACACACACACACACACACATGCACCCACACACACTTTCCTGCCTGGGTTTTGTCAGCTGCATTGCTCCCCCACAAAGTTCAAGGAAAATAGTCATAGTTGAAACAAAACCTCAATACTAGAAGTTAATGGAAAATCTCCAAAACTCCAGGGTCCTTTATGAATGCCACAGTGTAGAGTTCATGAGCCAAGCTCAGAGTTTTAATACTAAAACTATCAGAAGTGATCATTATAACATGGTTTTATCAGTAACGTGGTCTTTGCAGAATTCCAGGATCTCTATATTTATACATAAAAGGTCAGAAATAACTCATGTATTTTCCTGGAATATGTTTATGAAAAAATGTTACACAGAATTGATTTTCATTTAAGAATATCTTTAACTTGGCTATAATCTGTGTGTTTCCCTCCCACACATCGCAGTGGAGGAGGAAGGAGAATATAAAGAAGCATGTATAGCATGTGTGTGCATGCGTGTGCATAAGCGTGTGTGTGTGTGCAAGTGTGTGCAACCCTGGAATCTAATGTTGGCTCTCCCTCCACGTGTTATGCGTCATTAGGAAATGATAGTAAACCTCTGTTTCACTGAGTCCAGCAATGCTGGGATTAGAGAGGTACTGACGTGGCCCCAGAAGGCCCGGGTTAAAGGGTCAGCTCTAACTTCTTCCGTGTTTCTTTGGGAAAATCACTTCATCTCACTGGGCCTTAATTTCTTTACCTAAAAAAGAAAAATTAAAACAGTGTCGTCAAAATCCTTGCTACCCCAAGTCTGGCCCATGAGCCAAGAGCATCAGCAGGGAGCACATTAGAAATGCAGAATCTCGGGTGGACCGGGGACTAGGGGGTCAGCATCTGCATTCTACTGAGATCCCCGAGGGATTTGAGGGCACATTAATGTTTGGGGAGCGCCAGCCTGAATGATCACTAACATGCCTTCCAGTGACACACTCTGTTAGTTTAACTCAGAAAAGTGACCACACTGCGCCTGACGGCTGCCTTGCCGCCTTTGTGGTCGGGCTCTGGGAGAATCTGGCTCGGTGACCCGCTTGCTGCTCCGCTCTCGCTCCTGGCAGTGAGTGACACGTGAACAGTTCAGACCATCCCCGTGACGCTCCCAGACTCTGAGGAGACTGCCGTCCCTTAATACCCCATCCCTGCAGACAGGCAGCTTCCACATCCATTACTGGGTGTGGGGGTTTTGCAAGCTCTATCAGGGAACAGGAAGGATTCTAGATGAATTATTACGGGGATAGTCATTTAGCATTTAATGAAGCCGTGATTGCTAAGAGAAAGCACTAAGTGACTAAGAAGAAGCCAGGTCTGGTGAAGCTCATTCAGCCTTTTGTTTGATGGGGTTTTAGATGAGGACATTAGGCAGAACACTGAGGACCTAGTGAATGGGACTTCATGGCAACATTTGCAAGCATCTGTCTTGTGAGCAAGATGAAGAACGTGGTCAGTAGAGTTAGACACAGCCATGCAAGCCCACTCTCCAGGATAAATGGGTCAATCTGGAGCGTGGGCTCTACTAGAAAGCCTCAGGCTTCGGACTTGGTCCCATCCTGGCCCACTGGTGCGTAGTGGTCTCTCCTCCCAGGAAAGAGGCAGCCGGGCTCGCATGGACATGGTCACAGTCACCCTTCAGGTGTGGAGAGTCTGGAGCACAGGGATGCAGGATAGCAGGGAAAGTAGGTGGGAAGGAATG